ACTACTTCCTAGGCAGTCATTTTCCATTTTATATGTGTGCGACTGATTGTTCCTTCCTAAGTGGAATACTTTGCATTTGTCCTTATTAAATTTCATCCTATTTACTTCAGACCATTTCTCCAGTTTGTCCAGATCATTTTGAATTTTAATCCTATCCTCCAAAGAACTTGCATCCCTTCCCAGCTTGGTATCATCCACAAACCTTATAAGTGCACTCTCTAATCCATTATCTAAATAATTTATGAGGCTATTGAACAGAACCAGACTCAGAACTGATTTCCTGCAGGACCCCACTCAATAAGCTCTTCCAGAATGACTGTGAACCATTGATAACTGCTCCCTGGGAATGGTTTCCCAATCAGTTATGCATCCACCTAAGGCCTGGTCTACACTAGGGGGGATCGATCTAAGTTATGCAACTTCAGCTACGTGAATAACATAGCTGAAGTCGACATACTTAGATTGACTTACCATGGTGTCTTCACTACGGTGAGTCGACTGCTGCTGTTCCACCGTCGACTCTGTCTGCGCCTCTCACCAAGCTGAAGTACAGGAGTCAACGGGAGAGCACTTGGGGATCGATTTAGTGCATCTAGACTAGACTGGAAGAGCAAGATACATTCCAGATGTGGTGGTATAAAGTTCTTCAAACACATCAAGGATCTCTGCAACGCCTGGCCTACACTTCAAAGTGGGACCACTCTGACTATGTCATTTAGGGGTGTGATATTTTTTAAAAATGTGCTATGGTTATATAGGTGAAGACTCTAGTATGGAAGTAGTTATACCACTATAAAGGTGTGTCATAGTTCAGCCCATCCTGGGGTGCCTTCCAGTGTCAGGCCATGGCGCAACAGGTAAGCCTACCTCAGTTTCCCATTCAGTGATTCCCATAAGTAGTCTGCAAATGATTTCCAAGTGTGTGTGTGTGTGTGTATGTGTGTATGTATATAGCCTGTGCAGGGTTAGTTTATTACAGATGAAAACCTGATGCATATAAACCATGACAAGAGTTCCATGACTATAATCCAGAATTCCCCAGCATAGTCCAAACAGGATATTCCATTTTCAAGTCTCAACAGGCCATCAAAACACCAAGTACTGCCCTGGCTTGTCTCACCATACCTCACCCCCAGGCTTCAGCCCTCTCTGGCCCTCTGGCTTCAGCTCTTTGGCTCAAAGAACCAGCAGGCATCTCCCGCCACTGCTCTTAGCGTTCAGCCCTTCTCTGGCCATGGCTCTGTGGCTCAGGAAGGTCAGCAGACTAGCTCCTCCACTGGTTTCCTGATAATTCCTCTCTCTTTCCAGGAAGAGCATACAGAGAGCATTCTGCTCTATGCAGCTTTCCCCAGAGATCCCTTTAAGATCTCTGGCAGCAGTCACCTGACTGGCCTTCTCTGTTGTCAAGATCTTTCATATGTGGCTAAGGTGCCTTCTCTTAAAACCCAATTAAGGAGGCATCTGACAAGTCATGGATTGCAGTGGATCCATCTCCCTCTTAAAGGTTCCAGTCATCCTGTGACGGGGTGTGATCCCTGAAGGTACTTAGGGGCTTAAGTCCCCTTTTTAGGCACATAAGTCTCTTTTTAGGCACCACTGTGTTCCATAAAACTTGCATTCTGCTGCCATCTAATCCTGTAGGTGCCTAAATTCACTCAGCATTGAAGACTGTCTCTGGGCATGTGCACTGCAGCATCACTCTGGACACCAAGGCACCTATCTCCCACCTAAGCATGAGCATGCTGCCTCACTCTTGGCATCCAGGCACGGATCTCCTGCCTAAGCCCCAGAACGATTAAAACACTGGAGAAGATAGGTGTTTGGGTCCTGCACACGAATTAGGTGGCCAATCTGGTAGGTGTGCTCAGAAGCTGCCTACCAGATTGGGCTTCTCAGGTAAATTTATACAGAACAGCTTGGGAGGGGTTGTATTTCTGTGTTGAAGCAGGGTCTTTCAGGGTATATGGGTGATCTGTTCCATCATGTGATCTACTTCTTGCGTGGTGTCTTTCTTTTGTGAAGATGATTTTGAGTGTGTCAAGAACACCCCACCAGAGAAGCAGATTGCAATAACACTTCATACAACTAAATAGAGCATTTCCAACCCAATCGCACCTTAATCTCTTCCTCTGAGATTTTACCTGCAGAGAGCATGTCTGTCCCTTCTGTGTTCAGAATGTTCGACTTTACATGGATCTGACTCTTTGTCTTGACTTAAGAAAAGTGGTCAAGGTTAGACCAAGCTTAGGTAGCACATATTTGCGAAGTTTGACCTAAACTCAACCACTGTTCCTAGTGAAGACAAAACCTAGGCATGCTGGGAGGGCTACCTAGATTGACATGCTCCAGGAGAGGTCATGGTTATACTATTATTGTATAACACCTCAGGAGATTGTCCCTGAGGTACATATGTGGTCATCCAGCATGCTTTCAGTTTCAGTTGGTCAGCTGGCTTCTTCACTCTTTAATGAATTTAAAAAAAAAAAAGGTAGCAACCAGGGACTGTCCCTGAAAGCAGAGTCATTCCCAGGATTCAGGCACATGTTTACTTTAACATACTTGAGATTTTATTGTTCATTTATGTTAATTAAGAGAAAAGTGTGGGCATGAAGGACAAGAATCAGTTACAATTTTCTGGAGAGGTGAGACAGCAGTAATTATTATTTTTTTGTGCTGAAGGGATTGGTAGCTAACTTTTTTTCTCAAGCTTGGTAAAATATGCAGAAAAGAAAATAGGTTCCCAAACCTGATTCCAAATGAACAGGTGTTTCACAATGAGGTGAGCAAGTTGAGTCACCATAGGTTTTTGGAAGGTGAGGCTCCAGAATCCTGCTTGGGCAGTCTCAGGATTGCTGGTTTCAGTGACTTTTGGCATAAACTCAGTGAAATTTTATAGAAACCACGTGCAACACTTTAATGAAATCATGTCAACACAAGTTTTTCTATCTTTGACAAAAAGTATGGAAATTAAATTGTAATTCCATTAAAAATACTTTAAAGGTGACCTGAAAAAGTATGAAAAAGGGTTTGTGCCCTTTTTTTTTGCCTTTTTATTAGGTACAAGAGAGGCCTAATAAGTTCTTTTTAAAATTTTTTTTAAATCTGCTTTTTTAATGTAAAAAAACAAACAGATTTTGTCCATCTTGGAAAGCTTACAAAAGTCTAAAGACACTTACAGAATTAGCAGATTTATGACATCAAGAAGCAAAATGTGATTGTCAGCAAAGCTTTTTAAACAGTCTCTTAACTATGTAACTAATACATTTTGGGGAGAAAGCTCTCTTTGTTAACAATTCAACATCTCCACCCCTTCAATTAAGAACTAAGAAAGTTCTCAATATACATTTCCAAGCACTGCTACAAATGAGTCCTTAAGAAATTCAGGCAAGACAGGACTTGACTTTTTGTATTGGTATAGTTTAAAGATCCAACCAAAACCACACCAAATCCCAAAAACTAAACAGATTTTTTTCTGACCTTGTGTATAAATCATAATGAATCAAAAAAGGACACAACTCTACAGATTACTTATAAAAATTTGACATTTTTTTAGAAAAACTAAGAAATTCTGATTTAAGTTTGATGTGTGACATAATCAATTTGGTTGCAATACATAGAGGTAATGGCCAGTAAATTCCCAGTCCTTAAGGGCCTTTCTACACACAAAAACCTACTAGTATATTTAAAAGCAGTACAACCCTTCTAGTGCAGGCACAGTTATAGCCTTATGCCTGTAAACTGAGAGGAGATAGCTATATTGATAAGGCTCCTTTTTATACTGGTTTAACTCCAGCCAGACTAGACATTGTACTGATTTAATTATTTTGGTAAAAAAACTACACCTTTACTCAAACTAGTTGAATTGGTACAACAACCCTGTGTAGACCAGAAACTTGCACCATATTAAGTATACAACACTATTCAGCCACTTGTTACAGTGGCCTTTTAGCAGGAAGTTTAGGTTTTATAGTCATTACATAGCATGATGAGGGTGAGATTTCAATTTTAATAATAATATTGGCTCCACTCCTGCAACTGAATCTGTTCAGGCAGTCGCCTACACCCATGAAGAGCTCCACTGACAGCCTACCTGGATTTGACTTCAAGGATGTGCCCATATTGTCTCAGGACACTATCATTAAGATCACTGAAAATTTGGTGGTTTTCATTATACTCTGCTTCACAGAAAACGAATAGCACAACATAAGACACTTCATGAAACATTAAACCTTAATTTTCAATTGGCATGTAATAAAGATGAATTTGGATGGGCTGTCAGAAAAACAGGGGAGTTGATACAATGGAATTATGTAATGAAATGTGAATGCCGAATAATTATGTTAAAATGATTGATTGACTCTTCTGTTTTAAAAACAAGCTCAGACTTTAGATGAAAAATAAAAGTTTAAAGCATTTGATTTACCTAAAAATGACACACTTTCATAATGTGACATAATGACATTAATCTGATATAAAGCATATCACTGAACAAAACATGATTAGACTGGCAACTGCAAGTCTCCCAAGTAATATTTCATGAGAAGCCCACAGAACATCCAAAAAGGAGGGATGGCACACGAAAGCTATTGTAGGAGAGTGTAAGAGTATACCTCCCTGCCTATATTTTGCCTATTCCCTTGTCCCTCAAGCCTTCACATCTTCCTGAACCCTTACTACACCTCCAAATGCCTCCCTGCACAGCATAAACACCTCTCATTCCCCCTCCCCTAATTCTCTCACCCATCCATCACATGGCTGAGCCCTCCTCCCAAGCATACACCCCTCATCCCCTCACCCCCCCCATCATATGGCCAATCCCAACCTCCCAAACACACACCCCTCATTCACCCACCACTAATCCCTCATCCCCTCCATCACATGGCCAGTCCCTCCCCCTCAGGACACACCCCTCACCCTCTCCATCCAAGTTCCCTCAGGACACACCCCCAGCCTCACTTCCCAACTCCCTCAGCACCTCCATCACCAGCCAAATCTCCCCCAGATCCATGGCCTGCCCCCCACTGTCCCCCTCCCCAGCCGCTTCCCTGGCAGCTCCCGCTCCCACCCGGCCTCGGCTCCCTCCAGGTCGCGCGGTGAAACGCTGCGGGCGCTGACCCGCCCCCCGCCGCTCCCGCCGCTGAGCGGTTCCTCCGCTGACTCAGCGGCGCTCGTGCCCCGGTGACCCCGGCTTGGAGGCGGCGGCGTGTCAGGGCGCTTCCTCCTCCCCGCCCCCGCGGTACCATCCCGGCGGACACTCGCCTTGGCAGCGGCTGCAGCAGTGACCGGCCCAGCCCGCAGAGCTCACCATGAAGCGGGGCTACGAGGTGACCCGCAACCCCCATCTCAACAAGGTACCGGGGCAGGTGGGCGGGGGCGCCTGGGCCCGGCGGGCCGCTGCTGAGGAAGGGCGGGGGGGGGGGGGGCGGTGGTTAGTCCTCGCCGCCCCCAGCTCTGGGCGCGTAACCGGGGGACATTTCTCCCTGGGCGCCTCCCCAGCCCCTCGGGCCCGCTGCTCCGCGGGGGTCGCCGGCACCTGTCACACCACAGCGACTGGGAAAGCGGCGGGAGCTGAGCCTGACCCCGACCCCAGCCTCCAGCCCGGGTCCTCGCTGCCGTGGGGGGCACCGGCAGGGTGGGGACAGCGGCGGTTGTCTTGTAGACTCAGCACTTGGCAACAAACTCTGATACTTCCAAGTTCCTGCGGATCAGCTGATACTTCCTCTGCCTTAGATAACGCCGCTGCTGTCCAGGAGACTCTTAATATAGGCTCAGCTCCCTGCGGTGCCCCCTGTCCCTTTATGAACCTGTGCAAGTCATTTCACCTCCCAATGCCTCAGTTTACCCATTGAGCAAATGAGGCTATTGCTACATAATAGTATTGCCATCAAGCAGAGCAGACATATTTTTGGCACACAGGGTAGGAAGCACCCATCCCAGGCAGGCGCTGAAAAAGGTAGATGCTGGTAGAAAGTTCAAATACTGATTGCTCCCCTACAAATTCTCTGTTCCAACATAGTTATTTTCCTAGCACCCTGGCTCTGCTCCTATGCTTGGTTCAGGAGATGTTAGTGAGGAAGTATAAGTGCCCCTGCCACCTATCACAATTGCATACTGTTCCCCCTATCAAATGCTGAAGTAGGTTTTGACCTTTGATAGATGACAAGGAAAAAGATATTTAACTTTCATTTGAGTACATTATTTCTCATTTTTTGCTTTTCCTTTTGTGACTGTATTTGTTCTAATAAACATGTACAATTGCACAATTCAGATCAAAAGAACTTTATTGGCATGATAAGCAGTACAGTTGTTTCCAAAGTGTAAAGGGGACAAAACTCAGAGTAGCTGTCAGAGGTAGATGTGATAAATTAAGCCTCTTGTATCAAGTCTAGATTAGGTCTTCAAAATACTGCATAGGGTTGTATCCATTTGGCCAGTTGTGAGTATTATTTGTTTTCATTTTGCAATCACTTTTAATGTAGGTTTGTGTTAAAACACACAAAGTTATTTAGTCATATGGCAAAATGGGGATAGATTGATATAAACTAATGTTTCTCTAGTTTCATTGCATGAATTGACTTATCAGTAAAAATCCATGTTAGTTAGATGAAGAGTCCTTTTTTTAGTGTTGGTCCATCTTGGATACAAAGATTCCACATATTTTCTGTTGTGAATCTACATCTACAGTCTTGAGTGAGGTATTTTGGGATCAGCTGAAATGAAAGGTGATTAAACAAACAAACCAATCCAAAGAGTGATGATAAAGGACTTCAAATGTTCCACAAATGAAATAGAGTAACAGCATTCATGTAAAAGATCTGAATAACCAAGACAAACAAACACCCCCTTACTTTAAGAAAGCTATAATTAGTATGAACTCTAAAATGCCTCTGGTAGAGGCCACTTTTAGGCAAAACAACCCCCTCCCTTTTCTCGCCCCCCCCCCCACTTCAACCAACCCTGAATGAAGAGGACCTCTTTGGCTTTTCAGGGCTAGGCAGGATTTCTATTGGGTTTTCTGGCTGAAACGCTTTACTGTGAATGAAGATTTGTGTTATACATGTGCAATAACATTTTCAGATGAGTAGCAACATTTTACTAGAAAAAGACTCTCCCATGGGAGGGGATTCTACAACCTATGTGCTATATAGATGATGATTAGTGGAGGGGAGAAGAGCAAATGGAGAATTTGTGGGACACTGTCAAAAATGTTGCCAGTTGTGGTGATGGTTTATTATGTAATTGTGGCTGCATAAGACATAATGGACTGAGACTACCAACTCCTACCGGGAGGACTGTTTAACAGACAGCCAATAGTATAGAGTTGAACTTTAAATAATAATAATAAAAAAACTTTAATGGTTCTAAAGTACAAAGGAACGTATGCAGGAACTTTTCCTGCAAACCAAGAGGCCCTCGGTAAGGTCTGAAATTAACTAGTAGTCTTTACACTAAATTTGATACTTTTTGTGAATCAGAAGTATACAGTATAGCTATATCCATTTATATAAACAGTTATATAGTTTACCCTCTTCATCCAGATTCTTAATTTTTATATTTTGTTAGAAAGTTATGAATGACTCTTATTTACTAGATGATCAATTTTTTACTTAAGATTTGTGTCAAGCTGCATTTGGATGGAAATTGGATTTAAAACGCACAAACAAAGCATTTTAAAATTTTTCTTTATTAGTTAGGTTTTTTCCACATTTAAATTAAATAAAACTAAGTTTATCAAAACACACTTTGCATTTAAAACTGATTTATTAAACAAAGGAAATATCTTGCAATTAGTGATTTGAATGGATTGTTTCTGGTCACCATGGCCCAGATCCACAAAAGAGACTTAAGTGCCTAAACCCCAGTTTTAGGTGCCTATGTCCAATATTTATGCACTACTCTGATCCACATATGCCCCGTTTGGCTGCCACCTAACCCTGAGGCTTTTAAACTCCCTCAGCGCCTAAATTTCCTCAGTAAAAGTTCCCTAGGTGCCTGTATTTCCACCTCTGGGCATGTGTAATGCAGTCTTGCTCTAGGTATTCGGACGCCTATCTGATGCCTAAGCCCCAGGGCAGTCCACAAACTGGGGGTAGATAGGCGGAACAGCACCTGTCTTGCCTAGGGGGTCCAATCTGGTAAGTGTGCTGGGAGCATGCCTAACGCCACACAAAACGGGTGCGGGGCAGGGGAAGGAAGAAAAGGAGGATTCCCTTATTGCTAGTAACCCAGTGGTTAGGGTACTCACCCAGGATGTGAGAGACCCCAGTTCAATTCCCTCCTTTCCCTGATGAGGAAAAAGGATTTGAACAGAAACTCCCCACCTAGTGAGTGCCCTATGCGCTGGGCTATGGGGGTATTCTGATGTGGGCCTCTGTCAACCAGTAAACCTGGCAGATGGATATCTTCTCAATAATGTGGAGACCTTGGATGTGCACCTTTTTTTTCCCACTTATGATATAAATCATGCGTGGGCAAACTTTTTGGATAGGGCCACATCGGATGCAGAAATTGTATGGAGGGGCAGGTAGGGAAGGCCCCCCCGGAACCCTCACCCCCATCCAACCCCCCCTGCTCCCCACCCCTGACTGCCCCCGGGACTCCCACATCCTATCCAAACACCCTTGCTCTATTCCCCCTGACCATCCCCCCAGGATGCCTGTCCCCCATCCAATCCCCTCTGCTCCCCACCCCCTGACCAGGGCCGGCTCTACCACTTTTGCTGCCCCAAGCCAAAAAAAAAAAAAAAAGCTGCTTGGACTGCTGCCCGAACTGCCGAAGCGCAAAAAAAAAAAAAAGCCGCCCAGACTGTGCCACCCCAAGAATGGACGGAATGCCGCCCCTTAGCATGTGCCGCCCCAGGCACGTGCTTCCTCCGCTGGTGCCTGGAGCCGGCCCTGCCCCTGACCACCCCGCCCCTATCCAATCTCCCCTGTTCCCCACCCCCTGACAGCCCCCCTGGGGCCCCCTATCCAACTCTCCGTGCCCCATGTTACCTGTGGGGTGGGGGAATGAAATGAGGTTTATAACTCTAATGTAATTGTACCAGGAAGAATAATAAGCCTTTTCCAGAATTTGACAAGGTAAACAAGCTATTCTTTATATTTTATATAGATTCTTATAACTTCCTCATTTCTGTAGTTTCTAAGCTCTTCCATTAGTGCATTGAGTGACATGACCAACATCTAACCGATGTGGTTAATACTTTCAATCCCCTTCTTCCCAGAAGGAAAATTGTGTGTGTAATGTACTGTTTTGGTAGGTGTACACCTTGCTATGTGTTAGAAGGCAAGATCAAAGAAATGTGCCTTGCACTTAGGGTTGCCAACTTTCTAAATGCACAAAACAAAACACCCTAGCCCCGCCCCTTCCCTCAGGCCCTGCTTCCCGCTCGCTACATTCCCCCTCCCTCGGTGGCTTGTTCTATCCTACCCTCATTCGCTTTCACTGGGCTGGGGCAGGTGGTTGGCAACCGGACACCTGGTTACCCTACTTGCACTTGGAGTGGAAGCTGGTGAGATTTATGGTGATCTTAAGTTTCTGTGGGAGTTCATTCCACAGTCTTGGGCTGACTCCCGAGCAAACTCTTGTCTCCTGCACAGATGAGATTTAGTCTTATGCTAGAAAATTCTATCGTGGCTGAGGGGTAGAGTTGTTGACTATGGTCTTCATCTTGGGTCTTTAGGCAGTCTTTTAGATATCATGAGTCTAGGTCATTGAGTGCCCTAAAGAGTAGGACAGAGATCTTGAGCTTGAATTAATATTTTATAGAAATCCAATGTAGAGAATAGAAGACAGGTTCAATGTGCTTGCAGTAGCCTGGATTATTGAGAAGACATGCTGCAGCATTCTCTACTAGGAAGAGTTTCCCAAGGGCTGATGGCTTCATGCCCAGATACATTGCATTGTGTTGCCCAGATGGGAGGTAACAAAGGTGTATATAATTGAGGCTGGGTCATTGTCTACCACAATAGTATAGGGTCTCCTAGCCCACCCCAGATAATGGAAAGTTGCTATGCTGCTTCTGGATGCTACTACAGGAGAATTTATCATCAGTGAAGAATCTAGGAGCACTCCCAAACTACAGACTGAGTTGATCAATTGTTGGAATGTGTCTTCAACCAAAGGAGACTGTACCATGGCTGAAAACTCCTCAAAGTGCTTTCTTTTGCTGTGTCCCCTCCCGAGCATTATCTCTGTCTTGCTTGGGATCAGCTTCAATCAGTTGTTTTTCAATTATAAACTGATTTTGTCTAAGCACTGGAAGATTTTGCTAGTAGTGGTATAATTGTATGTGATGGAGAAGTGGAGCTGTGCATTATCTGCACAATGCTGACACGAGTCAACCTGGGGA